TACTATATTATTATTATTACTATATTATTATTATTACTATATTATTATTATTACTATATTATTATTATTACTATATTATTATTACTATATTATTATTATTACTATATTATTATTATTACTATATTATTATTATTACTATATTATTATTATTACTATATTATTATTACTATATTATTATTATTACTATATTATTATTATTACTACTATATTATTATTATATTATATTATATATATATATTTAGTATTATATATTCCTAGATATTCCCCCTATTTCCCAGCTGAGAAATTCGCAAATTCATACCATTTCCCATCCTAAAGTCCCAGCTCCAGGACTTGCTTCGTGAGTTCATTAAGCGGCCCAACTACAAGTGGTCCGACCTGCCATCGAAGGCCTGGGCGTTTCTGCGGGGGCTTCAGGGGTTGATGACGTTACCAGAAACGTTTGGAACGAACATGGAACGAATTGCGCTGAGGGAAAGTATCTTTTTGGAGACAGTATTCCAACTGGCTCCAGAATTTTTGGAATCAACCTTCACAAATGGTCAGTTTCACAGGGACAAAACATTTCTCCCACTGCGATAATTTGGAGGGTTGCAATGTTTGTGTGGGGCGAGTCCCGGAATATGACAGGTGGCGGTTCAGATGAACGACACACACCCCACCATTGCAGCACCTTGACGTGGTGACAGAGGGCCCCCCCCGGGACACCGAAATGGCTCTGAACTGAGGTGTATTTGCCTTTAAAAGGGCAGTTTTTAACCGTCAACCAGTTGATTTAGGGTAGGGGCTTGCTATTTTCAGTCTCAAATGATCAAGAGCTCGGAGTGATTGTCAGTGCTTTGGCGATTTTATATGCCCCCAACCTGAACAATATGACTGACATCCCAGTAGCAGGGTTGAACTCCCGAAGACCAGATGAACTGATCCAACTTTGAGAGGCCTGCAATTTACTCTGTTCACTTCTGGGGTGGGGAATGAGCCCTGGTTTCTTCTATACTTCAAAGCCCGTTGTGTTTTCTTTCAACAACATGATTTCACACTGGTGAACCACCCAGAAAAAACGGACATCGTTCCAAGTTCCATCTCTTTCAGAGAATGATAAGTATGGATAAGTCAGTCAAAACTAAAGCTTTCCATATTTTGTGAAGATGAGCATAACAACCAGCTATTGTTGATGTGAAAAAGAGGGGACTCCAAGCTTTTGATCAGCAAAATAATGATTGAGGATGGGAGAAATCGTCCCCAAAAGCGTTTTATTTTTTTTCGAAGTCTTAGATGGATTATCATTCCACATATTCCTAATCATAGCATCATTTTTGGTAGTTCAATCCCGCTTTAAAGATGCTTGAATTCTGTCAAGTCGTCATTTTCCCACATGAATTCCATGATTTCTTGCTGTCTGAATCACCATTTATCTTGATTAAATCACGATTCAACATGATTCAACCACTTCTAAGGTGAGTTATCCCAATATTTTCCCATGGTTTTCTCCACGTTTTTTCCCATGGTTTTTCCCATGGCCAGTGGTGGCCCCCTTAGGTGGCCGAGATGATGCGTCTGCTGGTAGATGTGATGCAGGTGGCCTGGGACGAGGCTTGGGACTTGACCACCAAGTGCCGCTCGGTGCCAGGGCGGGGTTCGGGGGGGGGTTGGGGGCTGGGGCCTGGGTGGGATGGGGATGGGGATGGGGATGGGGGGGGGATGGGGTGTGGGGATGGATTTTTCTAGTGATTTCTATCCATTTTATGATGATTGATCCGGTTTTTTCAATGGGTCAGTTGGGGGATGTTGTTGGAATGGACCTTGCGGGTGAAACGACGGGGGATTGTGGCCGAGTGGCTTGATTGAGATACCACGTCCTGCCAGAGCCATGAATCTGAAGTATCACCCCTATATTATCCAGTACTATCCCATGTTAAACCCACATATATATACACACATACAATATTCCTAACGATTGCACTGGGTTTACCTCATTCTTTTCTAGTGGATTGGGAGGATGACACTGGAATGGCTTGCTGTTCATTTTCCATCTCAGTGCAGGGAATGACCGGAATAAACTGGAATGATGGTTAGTAGGAGTAACTATCCCAAAATGCATATAATTTATCTCCATATGTTATAAGGTAAAATGTATGCGCCAGCTATCCATATTTTTGTTTTGGATGTGGTGTTGGTCACAAAAGCAGCTGGATCGCAATTCCTGAGGCCTGAACTATACCAACCACACGGTGATGCCCGAGGCAAGAATCTTTCGAACATCGCCGAATGCTGCGCCATGGAAAGCGGCGTTGCATTTCATAGGTCAATCGCATCTACAAATGGGTCAATTGTTAGTGGCAAATGGTTAAATATGTTACATTGCCAGAGGGCAGTTTTTGTTCTTTTCCGTTTTAGTTTGATGATAATGTTTGGAGTGCCCAACATTTGATCAACTGAAGAGGGTGAAACGTCTCAGAAAATGTAGTAGCCATCTTCTATTGTATCGGCGACTTGGATGATGGGATTTTTTGTCTAAACTATCCAACTCGCGGCCAGCCCTCATAAATTTCATGGCCCAGAAATGAGGCTCGGGATTGACCTTAAATAAAGGCAGAAAGAGTCAGCTCTTGCGTAAATCCCGAAACGTGGGGATAGCCAGGGGCCACCATGATTCAGGGGTGAACATAGTCTATAGATCTCAACAAGAATGGTGATCTGATTTAACCTAACCAACAAAAATTGTCATTTAACCAGCAACAAAGGGGTTTCTAATGGGTATCTTGGAGATAATAATGGGGTATAATGGGAATCTCTATGATATCATATACCCTCCAGTTGTCAAGCACGGCTGGCTGGGAAATCTGCACACTAAATGGGCATGAAAATGGGAAAACCATCGAAATTGCCATGTTTGATTACCAGGCGGTATCATGAAATATCATTGAAGATTTTGCGGACTCCCCGATACGACTTGGGCCTAGTCATAAATGCATACCCACTCTGCAGGGCATTGTTAATGTAACCATCGATCAATAAGAGTCTTGTTTGTAGTCTGCAGTATCATTGGCGAAAAACCGTCGAGAATCAGAGATGAGTACGGGCTCAAATTGATTGAAGCAAAGCGCATTGGCTGCTTTAAAGGTCAAGTGATCCAGATTCGACCCCACGATGTTCCTTCGATTAATTGAAACGCGACCAAGAAGAGAGAGCAACACCCTCAAACAACTCTCAACATTTCTCAAGGGTACAAGTTTGGACATATTCAAGATCCCTAAGAAATCCTAAGAAATCCTAAGAAATCCTAAGAAATTCTAACCTTTGGAGATTCCCAACAGAGAAGTCCTCCGTCGAGGCCTTGGAGAAGTGGCCCGTGGAGATGATCGAACGCATGCTGCCGCGACATCTGCAACTCATCGGGGAGCGGTGGTGCTTCACCGGGGGCGTTGCGTTTTTTCAAAACGAGTGGAACGGGTTGAGACATTTGGAAGTGCCAGATCTTTGATCCATAATGGAATCTTGGGACATAATGCCATAAACCAATATAGATAATATAAACCATCATCCTTAAAATAATGCCATCTTGGGGACAGAGGCCATTTTCAGAAACCTCGATTTTTGCCATGGTTTCTGGCACTATGGCATTGGTTTTTCCACAGTGTACCACACTTGTTGCACCTCAGACCGTGGTCAACTTCTCCGCCAGAATTCCAAACGCACACATTGGGTTCGGGAATTCCACAGAACCAGCACTGAATCATGGCTTGATCAGTCAACTTTTCGGGAAAATGTGTTGTTTCATATGTTGAATACTTGAACGTCTTATATAGAGAGGTGAGGGTTTTGATTTTGCTACAAGGCCATCAAGGCCATAGCTTCAAAACTGGTGGGAGGTGGAGGGGAACTTGGAGGATCATCAAACTGGGTAGCTTCGAGTTTGTGAATCCCTGAGTCGTGGAGTTACTCTCTGGTAATCATAAACCTCCATTTATAGCTGATTTCCAGTTGCCATTTTTGAATACCGGAGGGTATCGCATATTTACAATTGAGGAAGCTATGGTTACGAACCAGTTGTTTTTTTTGCAGGCTCCACCAGTTAGAAAGCTGATATGGTCATGTATCAATGGCTACTATCCCATGGAAGCTGATTCTTTAATTTCATGATGATATTCTATAATTATCCAACTACAATCCACAATTATGCTAAAAAATGACTTGCCAACGGTTGTTACTATGCCTTACCAGTGTTTGCCCTCTCGAGCCCTTCCTTCACAAAATTCCTCACCTTGCGATGTGCAGGAGTTGAACCTCCGCTGGGTACGGATCCGAGTTCGTGGGCTTGACATCACTTGAACATCAAACATATGGCTAAACCATGCTAAACCATGAGTTCCTGGGTTTATAACTTGCACAATTTTGGATGAATTACCAAAAACCAATCAGAACTGGGGTGAATAAGTAATAAGTAAAGCTTAGGAATACAGACCAAAGTGGAGTGTGATCGCATGAAAACTCAACAACGACGGGGATACAACCAGGATATTTTGGCAAAGAGACTGGTGAAAGGTAGTTGGTACTAACCAATAGCGATATATGCTGCCATAGATGATGATCATTTATTCCCAACATCAGAGTTTTGCACGCTATCTCTCATATCTCTAAGAATTATGAGAGTCTTTGAATGATTGGACCTCTTGACAAGTCCACCCGACCCGTTCCCATTTTAAGAGAAACGACAGTTGATTGGAGGTGTATGAACATATATGATCATATACCTCGTCATTCCCACGTATCTCGACTTTGCCATGAATGTCTGAAACACTGATCTTCATTGATCTTCTTAAAACAACTTGATTTTGCATGGGAGATGATTTTCTAAACCACCTTGATATAGATATATATATTTTTGACCATTGTTTTTGGCGGACAAACCAACTTTCCGGTGAATTGGGGCTCCTCTGGAAATTTAACATAGCTATGGACAATTGCCATGGTTACTGTATATCTATAATTATCTATACATCAGCAATGCAAGAAATCACCAGAGGGTTTGTTTCGGTAAATCCCATTCATTTCAGGCAATTCTTTCCAAAGAGATCCTTCAATCCCATCGATTTCGGTGATATTCTCTGAATCAATGGGATATTGGGCTGAAATGAATGTCAGTTGGATAATCAGTTGGATAATCCTTTTATGGGATCTAAGGCATATCTCAGTTATATCCCTACAGTGGTATCCCTTTATGGAATCCCTCTACGGATCACCCATTTGATCTCCGAGCCAAGCCTCCTGCTGCCGTTGGCGTTGCCGGGCAGATCAAAGACCTCCAAGCCAAGTACGGCGAGAGCAGTCCGGTGATCGCAGCGCTGCACCTTGGATGGCACCCGCAAGGGATTGGGACATAGTACCCTCTGGTAAGTGACTAACATAGCTATTGAAAATGGCCATAGAAATAGTGATTTTTCCCATTAAACATGGTGATTTTCCATAGTTTTTTGGGACAGTTTACCAGGCCGGGTACTCCCCAAGAGTCGATCCCCAAAAGAGGCAAAACAATTCACCGCGATTTTGTCGGATTTTTTTTTTCCATTTTACTTGGCATTTTTTTTTTCGGGGTTGCGAAAAAAAAACTATCCCCTGGGCTAAACAAGGACCATGAAAAACAATAGTTGTAGCTTATCGGTAGTGTAAAATCGGAAAACAGTGGTGGTTCCGGCAACGCATCAAACGAAGCTGAGGGGACCCCCAGATGTGGCCGAACTTTTTCAGGTGAGTGAATCATATTTCAGATACCCTTTGGTTATCAAATGGCCCATAGAATTAGAAATCGATGGTTTACCTATAAAACATGGTGATTCTAACTATGGCTATGTTAGATAACCAGAGGGTAGATGGAACGATTATGAATCAACAACATCCGCGTGAGAGGGGACAACATCCTGGAGAAGGGAGGATACAAACATCACCAAACTTCCCCTGAGATCATGTCCAACAATGCCCCCCAATAATCTGTAACAAATCCACTGAGAATTTCAAAAAAAAAATCCCAGGAAGGAGCTGTCAGGAACTGTTGTATCCATATGATCCATATTCCCAATGAACAACGTGGAAGGAGCTACGATTTGAGGTTCCAACAAAAAAATGTTGTATTTTCGCAGATTTTCCAATTTTTCACCATCAATTATGGTAGGATTGTACAAGGTGGTGCCCCCCAGGTCAAAAAGGTTGGTTTTTGTTCAGCATTCTGTCCACGAAAGTCACGAAAAAAACAGAGCCCAAGTTATCCAACCTATAAACCAATGGGAATGTATCTAACTAAGCTATACCCTCTGGTAAACTACCATAGCTATGGAAAATGGCCCATAGAAATAGATGGTTTACCTAATAAACATGGTGATTTTCTATAGCTATGTTAAATTACCAGAGGGTAAACTATATAACCAATATATAACTATATTCCCATATCTAACTAAGCTGACTATCTATTGGGCACCATCTTGCACCATCTTGCAACATCAGACCCAGGAGCATCTTCGAGGAAGGTGATATCAAGAAGATCCGCATGGGAAATTTGGCCATCATGGGGGCCAACAAGGCCTGGGCCGCGGAGTTTGCCAACAAAAAATTGGGCACTTTTTTGACCCAAACTAGGGATCCTGTGGGGATTAACTGATGGATTCCGAATTTTAATGGTGGATAAGATGGGTTTAAGGTGTTTAAACAGCTAACATGGTTGATTTTTTTTTTTAAATATATGTATATATAAGATTCATGGAGATTTCACCAACAGAAATGGGAAGAATTTTCTATGAGTGTTTGAAGGGGGATTCATCAATTTACTGTTGCCTAAGTTGTAACCCAGAAAATTACGCAACCCGGAATCCTAAAGTTGATAACCCTATAGATTACCCAGTAAAAGTATAAACCTTGCCTTCAGTTTATATGACCTCTATCCCGCAACCCAGCCTGTCTTCAGATCACGACTGGCGTCCTGGCCGGAAAGCCAAATCATGGGTTTGTCCAATTTACCCTCTGGCGATATCAAACATGGCTGGGAAATCTCTCCTATCAATGGGCATGTAGCCTCCAGTAAACTAACATACTAGTAGCTATGGAAAACGGCCCATTTGTGGATGAGTTGCCTATTGGGAATGGTCATTTTCCATAGCTATGTTAGTTTACCAGACGGTATGTATATACACATATAATATATATATATATATATATATATATGTATGAAAAATATTTGAACGATTGCTGCGGTATTTTCCAGCCGTGTGGCTGATGACCAGAGGATATGTGGATTTGTTTGAGTAGTTCACCATACTTATCAAGGGACAGGCCACATGAGGGACTATGGAGATCAAGAAAAAAGACAAACAAACAGTTTGTGTGTTTGAAAACCTGGAATACCCCACTTTTTCAACCAGTATTTTGTTTTTTTCTTGTGATGTCTCCATCATTGTGCAACAAACACCATTATGCGTTCACGGTTCGTCGCGTCAGGTGAACGGCGTGGCAGCCATTCACACTGAGATCATCAAGAAGGAGTCGTTCAACTCTCAACTTCTAAAAGGTGGGGTTTACTATTGGTTGACCTATAGAATTCTTACATAACAAAACATACCTCAACTTAAAGAAGCGGGGGTTATAATTGGTTTTACCGCATCAAAGTTCCTCTCCAACAGGTGCCAGACACTCTATTAAATAACCATTTGCAGCATGTTCGATTCCAGAGGGTGTAATATGGTAAAACCAACACAAACCCCCAGTTTCTGTGGTGTACAATAATCGCCACTCAAATCTTTGGTTTCCCGAATTATTTTTTCAGGACACGGTTTCCGGTGAAGATCTTCCCTCGAAGCAATCCATTGAAACAGTAAGAGTTAAGCTGCTAAGCTCCTCTTTTTGGATTCACCACAGACGTGTCCCCAATCCGAACCAGGAGACCTTCCCAGAATTCTACAAGTACTGCTGCGACATCGGCAAGCCCGTCGCGTGGCTAAGATTTCACATGATTTCACGATCTTTTCGTGCTCAGAGGGATCCTGTTGGCTAATGTGATGGCTATAGCATGGTATTATAGGATACAATGATAGCACTATCCTATATGGTTAGCATGGATAGCACTATCCTATATGTTCATGGATATTATAGGATTGTAATATTATGGCATATTATGGCTATATATATCCTATGTCAAGTGCAACGCTGTGCACTGAGGCATGGCATGGAACCATGGTGGATGACCTTGGCGTATGGCCCAAAGTGGTGGGACATTCTCATGCGCGCACCGTCGCATCCAGAGTCAAAAGGAGCTGCGCCTCCAATCCCGAAAGGGTTCTCCATAGCCATTGCCCCCAAACTTCGTGTGTTGGCTGGGAACACTTGTTGTTGGTAAGCGGAGCCGGTAACCCCGGCATAATAGGACACTCTGGTGAGGCGACCTGTTTGCAGCCATGGCAACTGGCACTGGGACCGCCTCTAGCGGTGGAGCTGCAGATGCCTACGCAGGCAAAGCCGACAGCTATGTGCCGAAGTTCAACGGCAAGCAGAGCGACTACAGAGAATATCGCTGCAGGTGCGATATCTATCAGATGAAGATGAGACCGTGTTCAACCTGTTGACCCTTCTCCAAGGGCGAGCTTGGGATTGTGTGGAAGACCTGACGGTCGAAGATCTAGCAAAGCCTGAGGCCTATGCAACAGTCTTCGAGCGCCTGGACGCTGCCTTCAAGTTCGATGCCATGACCGAGCTCCCATCAGACTTTGAGAGCTACTTCGTGAAGATGCAGCGGAGGAACAGCCAGACCTTGCAGGAGTATCAGGCCGAGTACCTCCACACAGAGCGCCGTCTGACGATGGTGCATAAGATCGAGCTGCCCGAGAAGATTCGAGCATGGTGGTTTCTCCGATGGTCTGGACTGACGAGGGATCACCGACAGCTGACCCTGACACAACTAGGTGACTCGAATCTCACCCTGGACAAGGCCATCAAGGCGATGAACTTCATCATTGGCCAGGACAGCAAGGTGGACGGAGCTTCATCACGATGGAACAAAGGTTCAACCTCCTACAAGACCAATGCCTACCTGGCAGAGGATGATGAAGCATGGCCTGATGACGAGGTCTACCTGGAGTGGGATGACTATGAGGCTGAAGGTGACGAGGTGTTGGATGGTGACGAGACGTACTACTATGACGCGGAGAATGACACCAACCCCATCGACAATGCCTTCAACGTGGACGAGTACGACGATGTCTTTGCCAGCTACATCGACGCCAAGAACCATCTCAATCGGATGAGGACCAGCCGAGGATCGGTGGTGGCCATGGTCCAACGACCTCCTCTTCGAGATGGTGGCAAAGGTGGAAAATCGAAGGCAAGAGTAGCAAAGGAAAAGGAACACCTCCGAGCAGCAGGCAGATGAATCCACCTTAACGTGGTTCCGCAAAGTCCCGAGCTGAAGCTCTTGGCAAAAGTCTCTGTCTTCGTTGCGGAGTTGCAGGACATCAAGCCAAGAACTGCCCTGCATCAGGTGACAGAAAACGCAAGGCAGACAATGCAGGAGAAGATGATGTTCGCATGGTGGTGGAGTACGACGAGTCCTTCCCAACTCAGGACCTCGACTACCTGACTGATTGAGCTGTTCAAGATGGTGGAGCAGCTTGAGTGCTTGGAAGCCGCAAAATGGTTGGAAACTACATCAAGCTCCTTGAGGTGCTAGGTGTCAACATCCACAAGGAAGTGGAAGTCTTCAAATGCCAGAAAGGCTTCAAGTATGGCAACGGTCAGAAAGAGATCACCAACATGTGCTGCCTCATTCCGACCTATGTGGGAGGACAACGGAGGAAGATCCTATGCTACATCATCGGTGGCAATGCGCCGATCCTCATTGGACGCCCTCTCATGCGGGAGTTCGGCATCGTTGTGGACTGACAACAGCATGGTTCGCTATCGAGGTGGTGAATGGCTTGAAGCTGAACTTGGACCAAAGGGTGAATACATTGTCAGGCTTGCAGCCGATCTTGAATATCTGAGGAACAATGAGGACGAGCAGGTCCTCATGCCTGATGACTTCACCGACCACATCGACACAACTGACCGGCTTCCTTTGTCGGCCATCTTGGACGATGAGGACATCATCAGCCGAGCTGAGACCACTGTGGTGACAGCCCCAAGTGAGGCTACGCCAAGCAATGCCGAGCACATCAAGCAGGAGGATGTCAAGAGCGAGATTCATCCCAGTGCTGGACGTGGAGAATCACCTGCAGGGCCAAGACTGAGTCCAATCACCGAGATGAGCACAGGAAGCACTCATGATGATGGAGTTTCACCGGAAAGATGCACGACGGATTCAAGCACAGGAGCGCCGATAGCGCGACTCACCACTGCAAAGCTGCGCAAGATGATCTACGAGCACAGAGCCTGGTCAAGGAGCACGAGAACCTCAAGGCTCAAGCTCATGAACCTGCTCGCAAAGAGCACGTGGTATGGGAAGTCTACGCAGGACGCGGACGACTTTCTGAGGAAGTCAACAAGTTGGAAGGTTGCTCAGCCCGGAAGTTCGGAATTGAACAAGGCTGGGATTTCTCAAGGCCAAAAGACCGAAAGTCCTTCATCAAGCTGCTGATTGACGAGGAGCCAGATGATGTTCATCTCTCTCCAGAATGTCGTCTTTGGAGCCCTTTGCAAGAGCTCACAGCAAGCCGAAGTGAAGAAGCCCGACAGTTTCTGGTCGATTCCCGAACTGTCAACCATGACACTCACCTGGTGTTCGTTGCAACCGTCTACAAAAGATCCAACAACGAGCTGGACGCAATGCGACCATCGAACATCCATGGCCGTCAAGGGCATGGCAGACAAAGGCATTTATGCCTCTGGTTTGGTTTTCAACCTACATCGATCAGTGCGAGCTTGGTCTTGAACTTCCAAATGATGATGGAGTTGTGCTTCCAGTCAAGAAGCCAACATGCTTGTTGACAACAAGGCGCAACCTCTTCTACCACATGCTGAGATTTGCATGCTCTGGCAACCATCAACACACACCGTGTGAAGGCTACATTCAGGGACAAGGTCTTCGTTCTCGACTATGTCAAGATTATCCCTATGAGATGGCCTATGAACTGGCGCACTGCATGACACAGCGAGAGGAGACTGTCGCTGAGATCAATGCTGCTGAAGATGGTGATGCAGAGCTGCTGGAGTTCGAGAAAGCTCGTGACGAGCCCATGAACCCAGAGGAAGACAAAGACCGTGAAATGGTCAAAGCCAACCGTGAGCTGAAGAAGAAGGTTGGAGCAAGAGCGGTCGACTATGTCGCCAGACTGCACAAGAACCTGGGTCATCCATCACCCGAGGTCTTGGTCAAGATGCTGACAGAGGTGCAGGCGACAGAGAACGTGCTTCAAGCAGCCCGGGAGCACGTGTGCCGCAACTGCTATCACAGGGCAAAACCATTTCAAGTACCACCCTCTGGAGGAATCTCTTCAACTACTTTTGGCAATCGCCTGGTGGTGGACTCTTCATGGATTCAGCTGGAGACAGGACGTCAATGTGTCCTCACTATGTGTGATGAAGCAACTCGCTACATTGCCGTCCGCATCCTGCAGAGCGAGAAGTCCACTGAGTTTGTCAAGGGCCTGGAGCGCACTTGGGTGCGTCACTTTGGATTGCCCAAGTACTTGCGAGTAGATGCTGCAAAAGAATGGGAAAAGCAAAGCCGTGAGAGATTGGTGCTCCGACAAAGGAGTAATCTTGGAAGTTGCCCCCCTGCTGAGAGCCACAACTGGCTTGGAGTCGTTCGCCGAGCTTTGGAACTCTACATGGATGACAGCGGGGGTCACACTCTCTCCGTGCTCAAAGATGCAGCCATCTACGTTCCGCCAAAGATCAACGGAATGTCTTTCACAAGAGGCTTCACTCCAACTCAATGGGTGTTGGGCAAGACTCCACAACAAGATCTTTCTTTGATGTCCGAGCTCTACAACCCTGGTGTGGACAACATCGATGAGACCACGCACTTTGCCAACATTCAGCAGAAACGACTGCAAGCTGGCATCGCCTTCCTCAAGGCCGACTCTGACGCAAAGCTCAGAAGAGCCATGAACCAGAAGTTCTACGAGGGTAAGGACAAGGTGCTGGTTGGACAACGCTGCTGGTACTGGGGTATCCAAGGACCTGGACATCTCCAGAAATCAAAATGGCGTGGGCCAGCACGATGTGTCGCACAAGAGCTTTCCAACGATGGTGGAAAGGTGGTGGTTCATTGGCTGGTGCATGGCACTTCATTGCTGCGATGCTCACCAGCACATGTGAGACCATTCACGGAAGCCCTACGTGAAGCTCAAGGTGAACGAGATCACTACTTCACTGCCTGGCGTCAAAAAGAACGCCAATCCGGGACGCTGATTGAGACCATCAGGAAGCTGCGACAACAACAAGCTCAAGGCCGAGATGGACAAGAGCTGGTAGCAGCTGAGGTGCAAGTAGACACCCTCAATCCAGAATTGGATGAGAGGAACTATCAATGTGAGGTGCTGTTCCGTCGGATCGGAGCTCTCGAAATCGAAAGAGAACGTATCCGCCTACTGGAAATGGACGCCGAGCCAGAGGATGAGAACAGCCCACGCAGCAATGACAGCTGATGGGTTTAACGCCAACACTTTCCCTCCAATGTCAAGTGCAACGCTGTGCACACAGGCATGGCATGGAACCATGGTGGATGACCCTGGCGTATGGCCCAAAGTGGTGGGACATTCTCATGCGCGCACCGTCGCATCCAGAGTCAAAAGGAGCTGCGCCTCCAATCCCGAAAGAGTTCTCCATAACCATTGCCCCCAAACTTCGTGTGTTGGCTGGGAACACTTGTTGTCCTATATAGGATATGATAGGATTGTAATGATGATGATATGGCTATGGGTCAAGATTGAAGACCTCTATACTTTCCACGTATTTTGGGTGATTCTTGAGTATGAAGCATCCATTTTGGGTACCATAGCCATAAATTACAAGGCTTTAACGGGGAGATTGGAATCCAACATCGAAAGAGAGAAACTCAACAGTGTGACAACGGACATACCATGTATTGGCTTCCAGCCCGCCTTTTGGGTCGGCCGGTCGGCCCATCCCTGTCCACCTTGTTCCCAATATTATCATCCTCATTACCCTACGGGAGAAGCAAACGAGGCTGGCTGCAAAATCCCCGAACTAAAGGGAGGTTCCAAAGGGAAATCCATCTATAAATGGGGGATTTTCCATTGCCATGTTTGACTATCCAAGGGTATTATTCTCCGTACTCTTGTCAATAACACTATGATTATTCTTATGTAATTTTGATTTCCCCCTCATCATCCCTACAAGACATTCAAAATATCATAAGATATACGTCCACTACCTTCCATTCCATTGTCCCGTTTTGCCTCATTATCCAAAATACTCATCACTGTGGAATTACTATGGTTTTCATTGATTTCATTGTTATAATGATAATCATGACAATGATTATTGTATGTAATTGATTGTTACATGGTTGTTACAAGTTACAAAGATAAATTTTACTAGTATCCATTTAATTTCACCAACAATCCCCAAAAAACGATACAAATTTCATATGCCATCACAGATATCAAATATGCACATCATCTCCTTAAAAGGCCCATCTCCGTGAAATCCCAATGATTTCTCAACATCCATAATGACATCCCATTAAAGAAATCTCATTCCCATAGAATATCCCATGTTATGTATTGTTATTTCACATATTCCCAGATTTGCCCAGATTTTCCCACTATCCCACAAAAACCATATCATCCCAATTCATTATACCATACTTTTCTATATCAAACCCACATCATCCCATATCATATCACGGATTTTCCCAGCTTCTTCCCATCATTTTCTCTTCCAACATTTTTCATACTTTTTCCAACATGTTTCCCACAGTTTCCCAACATTTTCTCAAAAAAATCCCTACTTTTTTTCTGCAAATTTCCACCCAAGATCCCCAAGGACAAGATCGTCAACATGACCAACGGCGTGACGCCGCGCCGCTGGGTGCACTGCGCCAACCCGGCGCTCAGCGCCATCTTCACCAAGTACTTGGGATCCCACGAGTGTCCTGGCGCAATGCTGGAGATCCATGGCGACTCCGTGGATTTTCATGGGTTTTTTCATGGGAAAATGATGGGAACAGGTGAAGAAGTGGATTTTTATGGGATTTGAATGGGATTTTAATATCCAAAAATATATAGAAGATGGGATTTTCATCCGATTTTACGCATCAGCTAATGGGAAAATGATGGGGAAACAATCAATATAGTGGGATATGATGGATATAGTTTCGGTATACTGGGATAATTGTAACTTGGGATATAATGGGATATCTTTGGGATAAATGGATTCTCATGGGATTTGAGTATTCCAACAATATATGAAACAAAGGTTTTTTTTTAATGGGAGAGATTGGCAACGATTTTCCTCAGTGAGAACCGTTCAAACATATCAAGACAATTACTGGGACTGATGGGGATATATCAAACAATATATTAAACATTTGATTTTAATGGGAGTTTAACCATCAACAAATGGGAAAATGATGGAACAACTATCAACGTAATGGCATATCATGGGATCTAATGGGACAATAACTAAAAACCATAGTTTGGGGATAGTGGGACGGGATAACTGTAACAAGGTGAGATAACTACAAGGTGAGGCCCTTTTTTAGTTGTGTTGTTGCGTTATAAACCCCACAAATACAATAGATTACTGCAGTCATATCCTCGTAATCAACCCGAGCTAACCAACTTGTTTAAGTCAACTTGGCTATCGATTGGGGCCGCAGTTTGTATTTTGTGTACAGCGAAAAAAGAATTTGACGAGCAAAAATAGAGATTTACCCAAACATCACATTCGGGATATTTGTTTACCAGAAAGGATGGTTTAGCCGTTTAACCAACAAAAGAAGTTGGACTTAACTAACAAAAATGGTGGTTGAACTAAGAAGAATGGGGGTTTGAGATGGTGTAACAAACAAACATGGAGTCTTAACCAGCTTTCACTCACAGGAACGGAGATTTCACTCGCGATGGGGATTTCACCGACCAAAAATTGGGGACTCAACCAAGAAAATGGGGATTCTGTCAAATGTTTGGGCGATTCTGCGGTCGGCTTCTCAATATATATATATATATTCCTGTTGGAAACTTGACGCTTTCTTGGTTCCTTCCGATCTTTGTTTGCTGATAAACTTTTTTGGTCCTCCCTCCCCATGTTTGTTGCTTAAATCATCTTAAATCCATCTGTTGACATGTTTCTTGGATCCATCTGTGTAGGTTCAAATTCCTGGTTTTCTTGGTTAAACCAGTTTCTTGGTTAAACCTTATTTGCACCCCATGGTTGTTGCTTAAACCCATATTTTTCCAGGCGAAGTTTCTCCGATTTGTTGGTTGAAGCGATGAAACTATCCAGTGGTTAGGAGGAAGCTGTGAAGGGAGCTACTGGTATCGTATTTTTTCCCGATCAAATGGGGAGCCAGTTGGAGCTACCAACAGTTTCCCAACCACATGATACTTAAACCATGTTAAACCACTATTTGATTCTTGCACTATCTCAGCTTCGCCACTGGATTTGGTGGCCTTAGATATTCATGAACAGATTATTCATCGATTTGTTGGTGAAACCATGATATGTGTACCATCATTGTGTTGGTAAATCCATAGATTTGTTGGTGAAACCAAGCACTATCAATAGTATAATAGTAAACACGTGGTGACCTTAGATTGTTTTTAGATATTCATCAACATAACCCATCATTTTTTTGCTGGTTGAATCCCTGTTTTTCAAAAAACAACCTCATCTTTGGCCACGGGAAGGTGGCTGACGGACATGACCAAGTTGAAGGAGCTGGGACTGGGGGTCTGTGGGTTGAGGGGGCGACTGGGGACTGGGGGTTTCACCGGCAAAACATGGAGTTTTTTGATCAACAGCGTGCGAGTTTCAATTAACATATGGGCATTTCACCAAGAAATGTGGGTTGGAGGGTTTGATTGAAAATTGAGGTATCATTCCTGAAAGAAGTGGCTATTGTCTTCCCCCAAAATGAGGGATTTCTGGTGGTTTCTGGTGCAGGACATGTTGAAGTTCAAGGAGGACACGAAGCTGCATTCGGAGTGGATGGAGATGCCACTTGGCGAAAACCCATGGGGAAATCGCTTGGGAAAATGATCTCTACATATCGAAATTGTGTTTTTTCATGGTTTTTCAACATCTTTTTCTAGGTTTTCAGAGCCAAAAAAAGACAACATCCCTGGTTCAAACCGCAGGTTTGGATGTAGCCTTTTTGGTGAACCTGAAGTTTGATGTGACAGTCATGCCTTCAAACCAACAAGAGGTAAACATGTTACATGTGCACACATATATAATTATATACAATATAATATGTATTTACATATCATAATATGTATAATTATATAATCACCACCCCTTTAAGGCTGCTTTTGAGGGGGGCAACGTCCCCCAGGTGTCGTTTTTGTGGGGAGGGTCTTCAAAATACATTCAAAAGCTTATCTTTTCAAGGCCCCCTCCCTTAAAAACGGTGGTGATATTATATACAATATAATATATATTCTAATGTTCATGTCTCATCATACCTCCATGAAATAAAGACAGATCACATTATTGTGTATATCTACATTCATGGTGGGTATCAAATATGTCAGTATACAATGGTCCAGGAAGAGGGAAGCGAAAGCAAAGCTGGCGGCGTACGTCAAGGCCGGGTGCGGTGGTGCGCTTGAAGCGATGAGGATCCAACTAGATCAATCCCAAAAAGAATTTAGGGAATATTCATGGAATATTCATGGAATAGTGATTGAATTGGATTTATTGGGATATTAGATCAACTAAATCATTTATTGGGATTTGATGTTGATTGAATTGGATTAGTGGAATCTTATGGAATATGATGGAATAAGAAGTCCCATCCTATTCTCAAAAAGAATATGGCAACTTGCTTTGAAATTTTCATGCGCATCCCAAATTGGGCCTTTTCCGGTATCAATTTGTATATGGCGTATAGCAAAGTGATCAAAGTGATCCAGCATTTTGAGGCACATTTTGCATCAGAAATCTGCTGGAAGCAGCTGGAACCAGCGGGGTCTTCCCTAGGAGAAGTGCAACCTGGACATCGACGAGGCGGGATCAATGGACCAATGGAGGTTGATGGCTGGTAACATCATCCAAACCTCCAAGGGACTATGGAGGAATGGGGGGATCTTCCAAACCATGTTTACCGGAAAAGATATTTTTGTGAAGAGAGTGTTCTTTGTTTCAGTTTTACATAGGGTCTATGAATCAAGGCAGGGACTTTTCAAGCGCAAAGTTTTTTTTTTTAACCATGTCTGTCACGAGGGATGTGTCCCAGGACGCCTTGATTGACATCCAGATCAAGCGCATCCATGAGTATAAGAGGTCGGATCTGCGGGAAAACCGGGCTATGACATGAGGATCAAAACCGATGAAAAATACCATATTTTGGGGAATGAACATCCAGAAATCACAGTTATTTTGGTGTGAAAATCAAGGTACCAGGGTTTTGACCCATCGCCATATGGTACGAAATAAGTTTCTGTTCACATTTTTTTGTTGGACCCCCAAAAAACAGAGGGCACTAAGCCGGCCAATGACATGGTGGGTGACTTAAGAGTTTTCCAATCATTTTTCATCCACATTTTCCCGAACTTGGTGAGTTCTCCAGAATTACCAGGTCGGTGGTGGGACGTTTTCTGAAACATCTCGCAGGCAACTGATGAACATCCTGTATGTGATCCACCGCTATCAGGTTCCTGGCAGGGTACGTTCGTGGGCCTGGAATAATCAGTTGTGGGTCTGTTGCCGGGTACGGGTACTCAAAATTCAATTGGATTTAATGATAATGTTTGCAATTGATACGATATTCAAGTCTCTCTCTATCTCTCTCTCTCTCTCTACATGTATGTATATATATACACATATGTATGCACACTGGATAATACAGGTGCAATTAGTCGTATATGTTCACACACACATGCATCACATAGTTGTTACAACCAGCTATCTTGATGTGAAACTAGGGTGCCGAGGTGTTTGTGAATAGCTGATGATCACCCAATCAGCTGTAGGATTTCAGGGACATTGCGTGGTTTATCCTGGATATCATCCTTTGAACACCTAATTTGTACATAGATATCGTGGGATTTGCATGGATTTGCGAATATATTCCTCTAATCCGCATCCCAATTTCCGAACTTTACTTTGCTACTACATCTGTGGTTCTTGGAAAAAAACAACGGATCCCACTTGCCCATTCCTGGTGACCCATGTCTAACGTTGGAACCTTAGAGGACGCATCATAGAGGTTGACCAGCCCTTAGTGCGTCAAGAAGGTACCAATACCGTATCAAAGCCACAGCCTTCTTTTTGTGAACCAACATATTGGTAGGTTTTTCAACCACAATTTACAGCTACCTCCGAAGTTATTTGGGCCACTTTGGGCCCAAAAACCATTGGTTCCTCTTAAAGAATCCCTGGTGCCCATCGCTCCACGCCCGCAGAATGTGCAGGACCTGAAGTCGAAATCACCCGGTGAACGAGCGAAGGTGAGAACGAAGTGAAGGGAGGGCTTGGATTTTTTTCAGGATGTGATACCCTCTAGTAAACTAACAGACATAGCTTATTTTTTGAAAATTGCTGATTTATTCATAAAAAATGATGTTTTTTCCATAGTTATGTAAACGTTTACCAGAGGGTAATGGTAGTATTGTAATTTGCCCAGATGTATCTATAGGAACCCCCCAAAAGATAGAATAGGGAATATTAATGGGATATTAATGGGATATAGTGAGAATATCATGGGGACATAATAGGGACATAATAGGGACTATACTGAAGATACAGTCTGGATAATTATTACGACCTCACTGCTTTATGATTGATGGTGAATGTAAGGGGTAACTGTCCCAAGATAGCCTTATATCAGGTTCTTGAATTATCGTAACTTGGATTTGCCAAAGGTTTGAAGGTGATTGTGTATTTTCCCATTGGCAACTCTTCCCTTTTGGGGAATTTGTGAGGATTTGTTTTACCTTTATTTTTGGAGCATCTTAAGCAAATACCAGTAATGGGTGGCTTTTAGTAACCGGCAACATGGTAGAAAAGTAACACCGCACTGAAAATATCGAGGAGACAAGAAGTTACAACAGTGTGCTTTCGGCTAAAAGGCATTTTCACCTACAACAGGGGTTTAAGATAGTTTTTGGAGTTACAAGATAATCCACTTGCCCTGATATCAAATGAAATGTCATTTTGGCCATTTGTTTGGAGCAATGCAACACATTGGGGCCCAGGCAGGGGGGAATGGGATCACTCCAGGCAGGGGGAGATGGGAACCCGTTGGTGGTGCCACATTTTCGGCCATAGAAATGGGATGATCATCCCTGATGCTGCTTTTGAGGATTCGTGGCTTTTTCTTTTGGCAACTGCCAAACGGTATCACCATGGATGTGTTAACTCTTTCACAATGGTCACTCTTCGATACCATCCAAACAATGTTTAAACATGAAAAACACCACATATATAGGTAAATAGATTCCCGCAGATTTTTTGAAAGCAACATTGAAATAGCTATCCATCCTCATGTTGGTCAATCTTCATATTGGTGATGTTGTTTACATTTTACATCCCCAGATTAACTAACATTAGTAACTAATTATGAACATTATATCCCTGAAGTATAGCCATATCTAGCAACATCAAACAACTATCCATCCCATTGCCCATTGAAAAGTCAACCAACCGTCTGGAGGCCCAGAAGAGGGTGGTCCTCATTGGTGGCAAGGCGTTGGCATTGTGGATTTCAGGTCATTGGAAGTCCAGTGAACTATCAATTTACCTCTGGTAAACGTTTACATGACTCTGGAAAGATCCACCCATTTTCACTAGGTTTTCATTAACCATAAATGGGCCATTTTCCATAGTCATGTTAGTTTACCAGAGAACTATCAATTTACGGAGGTTTAAGTTTAAGGGTTTTCAACATGTGGAGTTAACCTCGATAAAAACATCCAGAGACACCAGTATTTGTTGGGTTTGACTCATAGCCAACAAACTGGATACGGGTACGGGTCAAAATTGAATACACCAACAACTAGATGATTAATATTAAACATCATGCATATATATATATATATTATAATATATATAAAGATCTGTGGTCCCACAGGGCTTAAATTTTGACCCATCCCCATATATGGGATATTATAAACAGTATTATGTTATCTACGTTGAAGATGCGGACTTCAGACATAATTGTTGGGATTTACGCAACAAGATTGGGGGTTCGTCAGCAAGGAACGGTTTGATGAGGAACACCTGTGGTCCCAAGGAACACCTGTGGTCCCAAAGTGGTAGGTTTGCCATATCTACACTCTGGTTGTTCATCATCGCCATGGAAAATTTAGGTAAATCATCGAAGTAAATCATCGCCATGGTTTCCATAGCTATGTAACTACTAGAAAGTATATGCCATTGATTTTAGTTATATCCCATAAGATGGTTGGCTGTATTTCCATTGGATATTAGATATCCATTGGCAATATGGAATACCAACGGAATCCCAATGGATAATAATGGATACCCTCGTGCAATCAAGCATTGCAATGGAAAATCTGCCATTTATATTCATATATACATGAAAACATGTAAACACCTCCATTCAGTTCAAGGATTTCCAGACACGTTTGATTACCAGAGGTTTTTCATCCATCATGTTCAAAGAACTCCCATAACTATTCCAGTCTCATCCCACTGTGAAACACCATTATTATCCCATAAATTTGCGATGTATGTCCCATAACATAACCTTGGGTTGTACCCCAAATCTATATCCATATGAAAAGCTTCTCTGGATGCGATCTATACCTTGGTCATCATCCGAAATTGAAAGGCCTTATTCCCAATGAGGGTTGATGAAAATGGGTACGATGTAGGGACCCTAAAAGTGATCAATCGGTTGGTTCATAAGCCCATTAACCCTAGTTATACTAGTTATACCAACAGTTGTACTAGCTATATCCATTAACCCATCATATCTGTTTGAATTACCATAAACCCTAGTTTTACTGAAGTGATGTTTACCAACGGGGGCCTCACCTTGTACCCCTTTTCGTTTTTCGGGATGATGCAGCTTCAACGACTCTATTTGTGACAGGATTAATTAAAATGGACCAAGAAAACCACCCAACATTTACATCATGTGAGTTGGGAATGAACATGAGGTACCCCAACCAATTTTCCCAGAATTGGTGAGAAACACTTGCAGGCAGCCCCTCCATATTTACTGGCAAAAACTGATGGCTTCCGCTGAAGATTTTCCCAACAAAACGAATCCATTGACTTTTGTGTTGGAAAACTCACCAGCCTCCACATGACTGGTGTCTAGGCAGCCTCTGCCTACGTGAATGCGAAGATCATCATCAAACTCATCAACAACGTTGGCAAGGCGACATGTGAAGGGACAATGGGATGATTTCAGGACTGAGATCTAGGTGATCTCCAACTTTTCATCTAGTTTCTGCTAAAACCATGACTTCTTTGGCCCGTGGTTCTGATCAGGGCAAACTGGGATGGTCATCCCCAATCCACCAATTTTTGGGGACCACTGAGGTCATCAACAACGACCCCGACACCGGGAAACTGTTGAAGGTGGCCTTCGCACCTCGACGACACCAAGATGGGGAGATCGAAATTTCGGCTTCAGAGATGGAGAAACTCCCGAAACTTCCATATGGTGATCAGCCTATTTTTCGATGGAACAAAAATCTGAACACCATTATTTGTGGATAGTTTCATATATGTTCATATACCATGTGGTTATTTAACATAGCCATGGAAAATCCACCCATTTTTTATAGGTAAACCATCTATAATGGGCCATCGAAAAACCATGGCGAACTGTTAGTCATAACCAGGGCGGGTATTTCCATATGGAAATTTCATGGACATCAGAAATCCCATGGCTGCCATGGCCCATCTCCGGTGATTTGTAGCGAGGTGCCCAACTACTGCGTCTCGGCGGCGCAAGTCATGATCCCAGCCTCGGACATCTCGGAGCACATCTCCACGGCAGGCGCTTCGGAGAAGATGGGGGGAAAATGGGGGGGAAATCGTAGGAACATGGGGGGAAATTCTTGGGAACATGGGGGGAAAACTGGAAAACATAGGGAAGAAAAGGGCTTAACTATGCCTAGTTATGCTTCATGATCTTTCTAAGACAAATTGGGGTTGAACTAATCAAAGTAGGGGGATGTTGGCAGATGATCAATGAGTGGTGAAACAGATACATAGGGAGTCATCACAAAAATGGTGAACATTTCAGGTTTGTGAGATTTTGTGATTTCAGTATTCTGACACTTTTTTTGATCAGTAGCGGCTGTCTGCTGAAGAACATTCACGAATGAAGCCTCCGAAATTACCCACGGGTTCGATGATTTTCTACATCCGTATTGGATAGTGACATCCGTGGTATCATCTATAGTGGATTTTCCACAGTCAACCAGAAGAAAAAATCTGGCATAGCAGCGCCCTGCACGTCACTTGGCTTTTCCAGGTACTGAAGCCAGTGGCACTTCCAACATGAAATTCGTGATGAACGGCGGCCTCATTGCTTCTCGCCTGATGTTTGCCAAGGGCTGGGTGGCAGGTGGCCCAGGCCCCATCATGCCCCTGGGCCCCATCTGTCCGAATCTGTCCCCTGATGAATTACTCCCCATATGGAGCTCCAAAATGCATAGATTCAATAGTAAATCAAGGTTTCGTTTGGGGGCATTTACTGTAGTATTACATAAGAGGAATGGATTATACCCTTCCTTTAGTGCGAAAGTGGTTGAAAGTGGACTTTTATTGCTCATGATCACTGGTATGGATTGGTATGGTATGTAGTGAAGTCACTGCTGCAGACCGAAGTGGAACATTCGCACAGCTGGATTCGATGCGAGGCTGACACTACTTAAGATTTCCATAGATTTCCCATGATGAAATCCGCGTTGCTGGTTAACCTCTGGTAATTTAACGTAGCTATTGAACATGGCCATTTATAGTGGATTTACCCATTGAAAATGGTGATTTTCCATAGTTATGTTAGTTTACCAAAGGGTAACCTCCCCCATAGATTATGCTTTTATGGTTATCATCCTCAGCTCTGAAACATCAATGGACTTTGATAGAAACCACAACCGTTCGAGTGGTTGAACCAAGTGTATTATGGTCATAATCATACTGATATCCTTTTGATACCATTCTTGCACTATACATGACTGGTTACATAAGTTATATATACGGTATAACTTAGTAGTGGTTTCATAGACATCACTGCAAGAGACGCGCTCACTCCAAGCCCTGTTAGCCATGGCCAAGTCAGAGGTGGGTACCATGGATGGTGCGAACATCGAGATCCGTGAGGAATGCGGTGGCGCGGCCCAGTGGTTTTTTGTTGCAAGAAATGAGGCTTGAAGGCTTGATGAACCATGACAGAGACTCAGAAATGTAGGCGGGATTGGCTTCCAATCTGTGAAACTTGCGTGCAGTGCACCGTAAGATTCGGGGTTACACAATTTCATACAGACCTGTTTTCTTATTTCAGTTTCTGGGGCTTCGAACGGGAGGCATGCAACGCAGCAGTGGATGCTAGTGTGGTCCAAAGGTTGGGGAAGATGCCCTCAAAAGCATGACTGATTTTCTGATTTTCCTGCCTTGAAAGTAATAAACTGGTAAACCCAATAAGAAGGGACTGTTTTTTTTTTGGTGCAACAGCAACCAGTATGTTTTCAGGCCATGGTGTTTATCCAGCTTCTACTGGTGTTTTTGTAACAGTGATGTTTATTGCAACAGTTCCCCGGTGCTTTTTTTACAACGGTTCTGACCGCTGTTTTTTGCAACAATTCCCCCTTTTTTTTGCAACGGTTTGCTGGTAGCAGTGGCGGTAGTAGGTGGTAAGTCATATGTTGTAGGTGGTTATATAAGTAGTAGGTTCATCGGTGGTAGGTAGTATAGGTATAGTGGGTGAGCAGGTAGCAAGCTAAGCGCAAAGTGCTCCTGTTGCCTGCTTTGCCGACCGTTGCGGTGGTGGGTTTGTTGTTTTGATCGGGCCGAGCGGGGTGTTTTTGAAACGGTGGGCTGGTAGCAGTGGTGATAGTAGGTAGTAGATGGTAGTAGCAGGTCGTATGTTGTAGGTAGTTAGTTAGTAGGTACTGTAGTAGGTCGTAGTCCGTAGGTAGTTTACCACTGCAAAAAACAGATATTATAGTGTGTATTAGGTCGTGGGTGGTAGGGAGGTGGGTAGCAGGTGGCAAGCGCAAACAACAGCAGCGTGTTTTGATACAACTGGGCATTGTGGAATTAGTTTGGCAGGGGGGGGTTAAGGGAGAGCGCACCGCCTCGCCCGCATGCGCAAGGTAAAAAACGTCAGCACCACCAGCATCAGCAGCTGCACCCCTTCAACCCATGCAAAGAAACATCGCTGACCGTCGCAGAAAATTGCCGCCGCCGCCGCTGCTGCAGCAGCAGCAGCAGCTGCTGCTGCAGCATTATCACAAGACCCACCCGCAGCCCGCACAGAAAACACCACTTACCATCGCAGAAAACACCGACCGTCGCTGAAAACACTTTCCAACTGAACCCCAAAACACCGCCAGCAACGGCAACCCGCGCAGAAAATACCTTTCCAAGCAGCAGTTGCGAAAAACATGGGTTACATGACCAAAAAACACGCAACCTGTGTCAATAAGAAACGTGGGAGACCCAATAGCAATACCCTCTGGGAAACTAACATAGCTATGGAAAATCACAATTTTTAATGGGAAAATCCACTACAAATGGCCATTTTCAATAGCTATGTTAGTTTACCAGAGGGTAAATTGGAAGGTAATCATGGAACATGGGGAATTCACCGGGAAACATGGTGGATTCTTGGGATATAATTCTGTGGATTCAACGAGATGTTTCTCATCCAAAACTAGGGTCGACGAAATTAGGTACAAGGTGGGTTATAAGTTGGTTTCCAAATCCATGAACCATTAGATTCCTTAGATATTTCATTAACACATAACCCCTAAAATATACTACCATTATACTACCATATAAACCAACCTGGCTATCGTTTGGGGATGTGGAAGGGTGACCTGTGGGTCTGAGGTGAAGACACCATGTTCATCTTCGGCTGCTTGGAGCATGAGGCCACGTCTCGTGACGGTTTCAGCACCGAAGGGTGCGGGAGGCTGTTACGAAAAGGGTGACTTCACCCAGCAACAAATGGTGATTTGAGCTGCAACAATGGTGATTTTAACATATTTTAACCACAACAGTGGGGTGTAATTTAGTGATTTTGGGGATGGATTATTTTTGGAATTATTTTTGGGCTTACCGCAATACACACTATTGTTGGCTGATATCCCACTTACTCTACTGCTCATTCTTACGGCCTCAATCATCTTATCATCATTTAGTGTTGACAACATATGATAAAATCATCGTTTTTGATTGGTTTGTTGGCATTGGGAGTCGTGGGAAAATCTCCAAAAAAACTACATGCCTCTCCATCCTGATTATTTTGGAGGTTGGTTGGATCTTATTCCATTGACTGCAAACATGGGCTTAGCTTACATCATCATGTTTTTCTGGTTTCACGCATTGTTGGTTTCGGGAAATTCCCACCCCTTACCGAAAATAGATGTTTAGGAATTTTCCATAGTTACATCATTCCACATCATTCCACATCATTGGGGTTACACTGCTAAAGGCCAAAATAGATGTGGAATGATGCGGACAACACCCACGAGTTTGATCATTTTCCGAATGGTTGCGACACCATGGCTGCCATCCACGTTTTTTTTTGTTCGTTTTTCCAGGGGGTACTGTGGATGGTTGTGAAATCCTGCACCTGTTGGTAGATGGCTTATCCCATTACAATCCCATTATATCAATGGGAATTCCAGGATCCTAAAATGGAGGTACTGTACCATATAAGGCCATATTTTGTGGGGATATTCCCTTACATAGGCCTGACTTATATAGGCCTTATATGTGGAATCGGTACCTCCAATGAATCGGTTCCTGAAATGGCCGTTGATAATCCCAAATGTTTCATAGGAATCCCAAGAGTTACCCTGCCTGGTGCAGGATCTCGCACCCCTCCCGCCAGGTGTCCCAGATTGCCTCTAAGGCAAAGAGTGGGCTGGGCTGCCCAGTGGAGTTCACTGGTGGATTTCATCCAGTAAATAAACTTGCACTTTGCTATGGAAAATGGTTCATTTATAGAAACATGACCTATTAACATGGAGTTCTTTGATAGTTATGTTACAAGTTATGTTAGTTTACCAGATGGTAAGAGTTAACTCGCCATGGAAATAGGTGACGTAAATAGCTTCATTAACCATTGTGAACCATTAATAGTGGTAACTAGTTCTATTCACTATTCACTCACTATGGTGAATGATGGTAATAGTTAATCTTCGTGGATCACCTAAAGAAAAACATATTAACCATTAATGCTGGCGGTGAATAGGTAACCATGAGTATGCTTAACCATAAAATAAGCATAATGCTTGATTTCATGGTGGTTAATTTCATGGGCCATGGTGACTTTCATGGCGATTCAACCCCCAAGGTGGCCCAACATTGGAGATACCCTCCGAAATTTCACATGTGGCTTGCTGGAAAATCATCCATTTACAGTTGATTTTCCCGTTACCCTCTGGTAAACATGCAAAAAAATATGGAACATCACCATTTTTGATGGGTAAAACAACTACTGTATAAATGGCAATTTCCAATAGCAAACTGTTAGTTTACTGGAGGGTAAGACCTTCATTTTGTTTGTGGATTTCACAGCTAGCCATGTTTGACACTAGAGGTCATATTACAATGTCGTGCCCCAAATCGTTATCGAAGTTGCTTTCTAACGCGGCGAACTCGGGGTTTCTCGTAAATAGTTCATGGGGGTTATAAACCAAATTGCAACTGGGGGGTGCCGCCTTCCAGGGTCAAATTCTGAACATTAGAACATTGGGACAAGTTGCTGATTTGATGATCTGGGAGAATATGTACATATATAGACCCTGGATGTGCATCAAGGTTAATAAGTGGTTTGGAAGCCAGATATAAAATTGAGGATATACCACATGCTCTGTACATGTGTGTATATGTATGTATGTGTATATGTATATATATATATGGCTAACAACAATGGTGGTTGACCACTTCCTACTGTAAGTGGGGATGCGCATGCGATCGAAGAATCCAAGATTTGGAGAGCTGAGATCCCTGCTGGATTTTCCGATTTTGAGCTGAGAGATTGCTGCAAGCAAATCCCTTCCATTCAATCCCATAAAATATCTCAAAATCCCATTGAACCCCATCAAAGCCATTGGACACCACCATGATTCCCATGATTTTTGCCATTATATAAATCCCATGAATATCCCAGCAGGCTATCCCATTAGAGCCCATTAAATCTTATTGAATCACCAGTCCCCTTATATCTCCATGCAAAATCATACATCCATTAAATGTTTCGCCCATATTTTTGCTGCCGAACCTCGCCCCTTTTTTGGCTGAGGCATTATCCCATTGACCAGCGGCTGCAGAACGTCTTCCAGGCCTCAGCCGGAAAAAAGCCGAATCGGAAGGTCAGCAGTTTGAATCGGAGAAATTGGAAGGTCCTGGGTTTACCATGGTTTACCACATTATTCGGGTTGCAAAGGACCATATTCAGTCAACAGTGCCGGCTGGTCTTCGCTTTTTTAATGGGATGTATAGTATGAGAACATTTAGGAAATGTTCAAGATTGGGAGGAATGGGATTACCTTCTGGTAAACTAACATAACTATGGAAAATCAATGAAAATCACCATTTTTTTAAATGTTAGTTTACCAGAGGGTAGGCACGCCCCCCAAGTTTTGTGCTCCGTTTTGGGATCCGCAGGTGATCCGCAACGGCGACTTCTCGCATGGGGAACCTGAGGCGGGTTTCAGCTTGGGGATTTTTGGGCATTGGTGGCACCATCGTTTTCTCGGAAAGCACATTTTGGTGAACATCCGGACACATGGTTTAGGGATGTTTAGGGCGGTGTTCACCAACCAGGTATTTCTAGTTGGCAGATGCCTGGCTTCAAAACTTTTGCTGCGCAGCTGAAATTGGAATGTGTTTTTTTCGCTTTCTTGAAGGCTTTGGTTTGCGCCATCAGTGTAAGGTGTCAGTTCAGTGTTTTTGACCATGCTGTGCCCAAATCATTCATATGCATGGAGTTTGGTTGCAGGCTGCACCCGTCGAACATATGCGAATATACACACATGTGCTTATATGCGCAATGCAGGTTCATGTTCCAGCCATTGACACAGATTCTGTCAGTTTGTTCACCCCATGGCCCCATGGCCTCACTTATTGGTTTCCAACTAGGGTTTCATCCACAAAGCAAGGGGCCGGTTGTCCCCAGCAAACTTTAGGAGGGACGTCTTACTTTAGCTCTTAGTTCTTGGGAATGATGTTGAACCCAGTCACCACCCCAAAAGCAGCGGCTGGCAAATCATCATCATCATCATCATCATTATCATCATCATCATCATCATCACAGTACGTGTGTATATATATAAACATACTGATATACATGGGTTGTTGGTTCCTCATGTGCATGCCAACATCATGGATATAACCACCAACGAAGGAATGTCAACACCATTAAAACTGATACCAGCAACACTCACTCTAATTTTTTCCTGTATTTTACATGTAGATGCCCCCGAAGGGGTTTCAACAAACAAACAACACCAAATTCGGTTTTCATTGTACACCTTGACCAGCACCAAAAATTGAATCGTCGGGTGTTCCTCTGCATGTGACAGCTCAAAATGCCGGGTACACTGACACACACACCCAACAGAGCATCGACATTACCAGCATGGAAAATCCCGAATTTGTGAGCGTATGGATTTTTTCTTCCACATGGTTCTGAGTCGGGTCTTACTCAATACCAAATTTCGCAGGGAAAAAACACATTTTTTTGTTGGCTGAGCTTTGATGTGACAACCGCCACTTTTCAAACGGTCAACTCCTTTTCGGAACCCCCTGTAATTTGCCAGTGCCCACTGTCACGTTGAAGTGCCACAGTGTAACCTTATTAAGCCACCCCCAAACTAACAAATGAACATAGGGTTCAGCTAGGTTGTTTTTGTTTCACCCTAAATTGAAACAACCCCACACCGATTAACAAAAGGGTTCTCTCCAACAAAAACTGTTGCTCCTTGGTTTGACCCATTTGGTTGATGCTTCCAAATATTTTAACATGTATCTTTTTGTTTCGCATGATGATCCAACAAATAACATTCATATTTTTCCGCGGTGGCTCAACCCTTATCACTCCCCTTATCACCAGTCCAAACATAACTCTAGTCTATGGATGGGTAGCCCCAAGTAATGTGGTCTTTTCTTTCACCAAATCATGCTTTCCCCTCAGACACCGTCAGGTTGTTGTTATTATTCCATTAAATTGATTTCTTTTGTTTTTTTCGCATTAATTCCAGCTAAAAACTCGTTGAACCCCATTGGAACAGGACCATTATTCCTATGAAATTTCCCATTAAGTCTCATAGAATTATACATCAAATTCCATCAAATATCGAACTTACAACATCTCCATTTTTCCAGATCATTCCCCTTTTTAAAAAACACACACGACTGAAGACACTACGACCGTTTCCCAGAGACTTTCTCACCAGGCAACGGCGGAGTTCTGCTCCCTGGTGGACCGACTCTGCAACATTCAAGCCGCTGGCACTTGGGAAGGCACGGGAGCTGTGGAGTCGACCAAAAATTGGGGATTACCAGAGGGTACCCGGCCTGGTAAACATACAAAAAACAATGGAAAATCACCATTTTTAATAGGTAGATCAACTATTTCTATGGCAATTTTCAATAGCTATGTTAATTTACCAGAGGGTACTTGTAGGATTAATGTGGACGGTGAGAATGGGAAGATGATAGAACTTAACCTAAGGATGGGGATGTCACCAACAGTTCTGGGGATAAGTGGGAAATGATGGTTTTGCAATGGGATATTAACCGATTTAGTATTTATAATTTTAGGATATGAGTTGAGTATATGTCTGGTGCCACAGTTTGGAATCACAAAGTTGGTGAACATCACTGACATAACGAGCTTATGTTAGATATCTCAAACTGGTTCATGGGAGATATACAACAACTGGGGGACACCACCTTACAGAACCAGTGGGCTTGGAATAAAAATGTGGGTTTTATCCAACAATGGCGAACATATGGTGACTTAACGGAGAAAATGACAAAAAACGGCGATTTTGAAGCGACAAACATGGGGCTTCAGATTTTACACATCCAAAAGCGGCCAAGATTTGGGATATTTGGGGCTCACCCTATCAAAACGGAGGTTGAAGACGATTTGACCGATCCGGAATTTGTGGTTTACCCTCTAGTGGCCTAATGTGGATGCAGATCAAGTCATATGAAATCCTTGGAGGCGAAATATGCGAACAGATCTCGAGAAAAGGTGAAATTGTTCGCTTTGTGTCTTTTACTTTGCCAAGATGCATATGTCTGATATACGTATATATATAATATAATTTATATATATATAATATATATATATATATATCTTTGGGTGATTACTAAGGTTTTCCCATTGTTTCCTTCCTGCGACGATCTAGGCGAAGCTTGTTTGGATAATTTATAAGTTACTCGTAGCTTGAATCTATGGTGAGCTTAAACTGTGTGTAAATTCTTTCAGCCGCTTTGACTATTCAACATGAATACAAACTGCCAATCCAGCACGTCTAATCGTTGGGAATTCATGCAACAAGTTCATGGTTGTCATCTTGATGGAGCAACAAGTTCATGTTAACTTCCGCTGGAAGTTAGCAACCGTGGGAACTACAGTATTGTACCAAAAAACATGAACTGCGTGGAAACTTGGCATAGAATCTGAAAACGGTGATTGCTGGCAGAAAAATCAAACGATTGATCGTCCTGACGTGATTCTTTGAAGTCAGGACGAGATATGCATGAAGAGATACGTAGCTTTTTCATGGTACATCTAAGCAACAACCTTTAGCAACGAGCATTTGAGGGCCTGAATTCTAAATAGCTGTGCTTGGAGGGTCTTCCCACTTCTTTGAGAGTGGATAGTAACCATGCTCCACTGCGGTTCCCTGCGAAAAAGGGGTTTGCCCACCTACATCTTGGAAACCCGCTTTTGTAAGTCCTGTATATGACTTAACTAACGTGGACATATTTTCAAAGCGACCCATAGATGTAGCTATATGATCTCCATCTCGTATATAATACCAAAAGCGCAGCCTAACATATGTTTTACATTGTACATAGCATGATCAGATTATTATAGTTTTTTTTCTTTGTTTTTTTTTCAAACCACACATATATCTTGGATCTATAAAATATTTATAAATATTTAAGATTTTTGTAAACATTCACTCATGTACCCAAAATATTCACAATATGAACAGATCTTGTGGTATATATATATATATACATACATCATTTTATATTTTGGTTTTTGTGGGGCTTTCGATCGCGTGTTGAATATTTTTTTAAAACACTTAGCCCTCTCCGTTTCAAAATAGTAAATTAGTCAAAACATATATTTAAATATACACATGTATTAACCATGTTGTGATAATTTCATGCTAGGTTTTTTGCAAAGTGAAACATGTTTGCAAAAAAATCATTTTAGTATGAAATATCGAATACGTACTCCAGTTTCAGAATGCCTCATACATATGTGGGTGGATTCAGCAAGTTATACGTAAACATTTTTGTCTTGTTTCTAAAAAAAATGATACTAAACACTAATTATCATATATATCTACTAATCACATCACCATCACCATCCAAAATCTGGATCTTCCTAGATTTTCCTATCCCTGTGCCCTGCGCCACCACACGCCACCTCACGTGTCAGGCGACAAATACCTGGTGATCAACGACTTCCCGTCCTTCGTCGACGCGCAGAACCGGGTGGACCAAACATACGCGGACAAGGCCAAGTGGTGCAAGCTGAGTATCCAGGTGCCTTGCCGTGGCGGATGGGGTAAACTGCTCAAAAAGGGGGACACGGGGAAACCCGTTCGAAAATGGGGTAAACATGCCACAAACGTGGAAAACCCTGCGGTTTTCGAAAATGATTTGCATTCATGTCGGTTTTCCACATATTTTTGTATGTTTACAGGGCCGTAAATTTGATTTAAACGGGATATAACCATGATGGGAATTAGTGGGAACTCAAAGGGATATGAAATGTCTCAGAGATTTAATGGAATATCAATGGCATACAATGGGATACATAACTGACATATTCTTGCTGTTTGTGTGTCTGGAAATGGGAGATCAGCAGCCCCAAAGGTTGGCTTTATGATTTCACTGGGAAAAATCGAAAAAAAATCGTGGGTACGGTATGATATCTTGGTTGCTGGGGTACAGCTGGTTCAGGGAGAGTATCGTTATACACGAACCCCTCAACTGCAAGGGATGCACAGTTTGGCTGTTTCTGGGGGTTGAATTGGGGATTCAATGGGAAGTGGTGGGAATTTACATGAATTTAAACCATTTTAGGGAATTTGAAAGGGAATTATGTAATGGGAATTTCCTGGGAGTTTATTGAAATGGATTTCAAAATTCGATGCTGACTATCAGACTATCATCTGGACTCCCAGTCATAGTCATCGGATAACGATCTCACCTCTGCATTTGGTAAAAAATGGTGGTGAAATGGGGAACATTGAAATTTTAATCCCACTTTGGATAAGTTTTTGCCACATTCTTGTTTGGTTGATGGGTATGCTAAAATGCTTGCAACGCATGGTGGACATTTTCATGCATCCTTACTGAGATTAGACCCATCAAAAAGCTAGCTAGTACATCTTTCCATGATTCTCCGACAACGGGATGGGTCAATTAAGCTATTAAACAGTACCATGTTATACCATGTTTGGGTTAACATCACATCCATTCACCATAACATCACACCCATTCACCAATTAAATCCATTTTTTTGCTATGACTTAGAATACCATAGAATACCAGGGATTTTGACCCATCTCCCGTGCGTGGCGTGACCGTCCAGGCCGCGTCCAGTATGGCGAAGTTTTCCACGGATCGTACCATCAAGGTCACCATATCTGGGGATGGGTCAGTGGGCCTAGTGTTACCATATGGTGACTGTGGGGGAAGAAGCATCCACAATATGCCATAAACATCCATAAATATTTTTTTTTTGGGTAGCGTTTGGATGGGTTGGATGGGTTTTGACTGCCAAATTGGTTGTTACTTACCAGATTGTGGATGGTTGCGAAATATTGTGAACAAGTTGATAAATGGTAAACACCCCATGATTTTTTAAAGGGTTTCTACCATCCAAAACGGTGCAGGATTTCTTACGCAGTATGAAGTCTCCATAATAATGGATGATGATGTTTGGGTTTGGACTCAACCGTGGCTAGCTAGAGAACTAGCCACGTTGATGAAACCCTGTTGGTAGATATGAATGGGAATCAACAAAAGCCAACCAGATAAACCAAGATATCAAGTATCTAAGATTAAGCACAAAAAGTATGTGATGTAACATGACCTGTCTAGAAAACACGTGGGAGATGTAAACTGTAATATATGGGGTTTCCATGGCACGGATCCAGCAGCCACGAAGGATGTACATGGATACTTTCTTGGCAACAGGATGTATATGACCCACAACCATTTTGGTAACCGACAAGTCGAGGCCACGAGGGCAAAAACGGGAATTTTATTCTTGGAACACCATGGCCATTTGCATTCTATGGTGCGGCCACATGAATGCATAACATGCATGAATATATTTATATGTTTGACGATTATCAAAATTGTTCTGACTATATAATTCATAGTATATATATATACTGATTTGACTATATACATTTATATACAAAAATACACAGATATTTATGATTATGATGCTGAATATTAATAGATACGATTATATATATATATATTATACGCACTAATTCAAACTGATTTTAGCAACACCATACCCCGTTGATATTAAACACCACCATCCAATGTTCCCGGTCACATGTGTTTCATCCCAAAGATTCATCAGATGTTACCAAACCGTCTCTACATTTACAACCCTATCTAAGTTGGGCCCAAAACAAAGGATACCCACCTGGAAATCCAGAGTTGTTTTTTTTTTTTTGTCAGGCCACTTTCAAAGTTTCAGAATTTCATGCAACTTCCGTTAGTGCCACTTTTTTGCCAATTCAGGGTGGTGCCCCTCGAGTGCTAAGGTGGTTTATAATCCACATGAACTAGTTCATATCTACCAGAAAGTTAAGTTATTGGAGTTTTTTCAACCAACCTTCTGCCATGGTTTTGGACCATGGCAGTACCCCAAGCACTGACAGGAGTACGCGGAGGTCATCTGGGGCGTGAAGCCAGCACCAAGACCCCTGGAGAAGCCACGCGGATGCAAAACTGGTGGTTTCACCGAAGAATTTCTTCGAAAACTGCTGATTTTACCTGCCAAAGATGGTGATTTTACCTAGCAAAGATGGTCATTTTGCAAGCAAATATGCTGGTGGTGTTTTTTGTGATGTGTTTTTGCCAGCAAAAGCATGGTGATTCTTGTTCAAAAAGAAAACACGGTGCTTGTCTCAGCACAAATTATGACTTTATGAGCAAAGATGGGGGTTTTAAAAGAAAGGATGGTGATTTCAATGATGATTTTTCCAGCAAAAATTACATGCAAAGGTGATGAATTTGCCTGCAAACAGGGTTATTGTTTGAGAAAGAACTGGTGATTGCCAGCAAAAATGAACACTTTACCAGCAAAGGTTGTGTTTTTATATGCAAAGATGCTGATTTTTTCCAGTAAAGATGGTGATTTTTACCTGCAAAGATTCCGTGATTTTTTCAGAAAGAAATGGTGATTCTACTTGCCAAACATGTTGGTCTACCTGTCTAAGATGTTGAAACATGGCGGTTTTTCAGATACCAAATCAGCCGATGAACCGCAGTGGGATATAGCCCGAAGAGATATCGGCCCTTGAAGAAAGTGTGCTTGGATGATCCTGGAAGTTCAGGTACCTGGTGGTTAGTAAGTGGATTTTTCGCCAAAGATCTTCCAGTTGTGGTTGGGGTGCTATTCGCAAAAAAATTGACCCTTCTGTGCAGCGAAGCTGAGGTAATAAACGGCAACTGCGACCACCGCGACCACGTCGCGGGGTGTTCCTCCGGGTGTTGGGTTCAGGTGATGGACTGAAATAGTTCCTGTGTTTGTTTCAGAATGGTTTGGTTTTCACAGAGACTGAACCTATACTGCCTATGCTATATATATATATTTGTATTTGTGTGTGTGTGTTTGTTTCCTATGGTATTCCAGATCTTTTTAAATTTGGGCAACCAGCAGCTCCTTGTTTTGGAGTCTTGTTTGTGCGAGACTCCAAGGGTGCTGCGGTGTACGGTGAAACATTGCCCACAGCGAAGGCTTACCGTGCACCTGTGATCTTTTGATGAATTATTTTCCGCGCCGAGTTCCACCTTTTCAGAATCAGGTGTTCCGCGGCGTACGGTCGCTCATGCCGTTTTTGGCGAGGCCTCACCCGAGTCAGTGTGTAGGCTAAGGAGCGGTATCTCTCGACAAGCCAGCTTCAATGGATGGTGTATTATTGGATTATTGGATTGTGGGGAAATATGGGAAGCATCCATGATCCATGAAACTTCCAGATCATTGGCAGCATGTTTTAGCTTTGTTTTCCCGTCGGGTGAGAGTTTCATCGCTGGCGCAGTTTCATCGACCGAGTAGATTGAAGAAAGCATCATAACTTGCGCACAGAGGACACATCACGTGCCCTTCGGCGCACAGATGGAAAGCTCCGTGTGCGGGACCAACAGAGGGCAGTGCAAGTGCAGAAATTGCGGGTGCGCTGAGGTTTTGGTCTCTGGGCTGGTTGGGAGCTGACTGGTTGTGATTTTTGGTGGAGTTTTGGTTGGTTTAGGAGCTGATGGAACTCTGAAACATTCTGAAACCCGTTGGCCGTTGGTAAGCTGGACAAAAGCACAAGGTGGAAACGAAGCTTCCATTGTTGTTTTTGAATTTCTGTGGTTTTCTTGTACCTAAGACTATAGTATATTAACCCCGAATAGAAGGTCATTTACCATAATTACTATCCTTGGATAGTTTAGATTTGGATTTTATTTTTGTATCCTTTTCGGGTGAAGCTGCTGCTTAAGCGTTTACATCGCCAGGTTGCTTGAGAGAAGCTGGGGTGTCCCAGGAGACGGTGGAATCTGGGTTTCATCTGGTGTGGATGAGGAGTTTTTGTAACCCCCCAAAAAGAGAGATAACCGTCACTTATCCGTGATTTATCCGTATGTTGGAGTAGGCTTTTCTCTATCTCAACTTGGGGAAGTTCTACTCACTATAATATTAGAGCTTGCACCACATGCGGCTCTTTCCGGAGAAACGTCTTTATGTAAGCGAGAATTTGCGCACGAAGCTCCTGGGGATATCCCAAGGTGATTTTTTGAACTCGTGACCTAAAAATGACCAGGAATCCAATAGGAACATGACTGTGGTTTACCCATAAATTTTGGTGATGTATTAGGAAAGCCCATGAAAAACCTTAATGTTTCACAATCATGTTCACTTTTTGGTAAATATAACCTATAATATCCTATAATGTTCACGACTTACAATATATATAACCTATAATATCCTATAATGTTCACCCTTGGAAATGACTTACCAATGGCCCCACATAAATGTTGGTGAAAAGCATGGAAAAGACATCAATTTCGCGGTAAAGCAAATCGGGTTTGGGACTCATGTAACTTGATATGGGCAATCACAAGAAGGAACCAGTATGTCTTGGTCATTTTTTTTTAAAGGGAGCTTGAATTCTAACTCAGCAAGAAACAACAAACCGCCAACTTGAACTCTCGGCCATTCGAAGTGTCATTTTTATCCCAAGAAGTTTGGTTTTGGAGGATCATTCCAGTTGCTGGTGGTTGTGGTTGTGGGACACAACCCAGTTATCAAATGGGAGAACCCAGGAATCAGGGACTTCTTCACCAGTGTTATTTCCTGCGATTCCTGGGACGATCCTCGAAGTAACTTTTTGATGGTCCCATCGGCCTCAAACGCCCAATGAAACCCATGAAGGGTACCCTGGGGCAAACGAACAAAACGATGTGGCACACTGACT